GGAAAATAATTAGGCCAATTGTATTCACTTTTTATGTAGCAATGGCTGTAACATTGTGTGATGCTGTTCGGTCGATTTTTGTAGGAGTCTGTCCAATTCTTTTTTATTGTAGTAAAACACCAATTCTTTTGGTTTGACGCCTCTAAACACATCGACTACGCTAGGCTTGAGGTTGTAAAAGAACAAAGCTTGTCCTCTGTCCGAGAAATCTTTAGTTAGCATTTCGATGACCTTAGCGGCCGTGAAATCAGCTCCATACACGTGAGAACAGTCTATGACTACCGGCATATCCCGTTTGAGACTGTGTTTTGTAACCAGGTTACGGACGTAATCGGCCGACGGAAATACCAAACACCTGTCCGGGGTCAGCATTAGATACTTGTAACCGGCGCGAGTCTTGTACTCTTGTATGGATATTTTGGGTCTAGCCGCGTGGTACAAGATTGAAGTTAGATTCAGCCCTATGCCGAACAGGACGCCGATCTCTAAGGGCAAGAACAGGCACGCGAAAAAGGTGAACATCCCCGGGATCAGATCGCTCTTCTTGGAGCGGTAAATCGGTTTGACGACTCTCACTTCCACCATGAACACCACTGCCGTTATGATGACCGCTGCCAGACAAGTTTTGGGTATGTAATAAAAATACGGCGTCAAAAACAACAGAGCCACGATCACCAGGATCGAGGTGTACAGCCCGCCCAACGGGGTTCGTACTCCACTGGCGTTGTTCACAGCACTCCTGCTAAACGACCCTGATCCCGGGAAACTTTGCACGAACGAATTCCCGATGTTACACAGGCCAATGGCCAACAGTTCTTGGGTGGCGTCCACGGTCTTGCCGTTGGCGAACGCCTTGCAAATTGATATGTTCTCCAGCAGACCAATCAGCGGCAAAACGACCACGTTCGACTTCATCGTGGACATTATGTCGAAGAAACCTATGGTCTCGTTGTCACGCTGCATCGTGAATTGGGGTAGACGAAATTCCGGAAGACCCCCCGGAATCGTCCCGATGATCTTGTACGGCAATATGAACGTATTATCGTGGTCTCGAGCACTTATGAACATGTAGCTCATTACGGTGCAGCTGATGACGATTATGGAGTTTCTGATCGATCCTATCAACCAKAAACTCTTGTTGGTGTATTTCTGAACGCAGCTCTGTTGTTCCGGATCCGCGGGGCCGATACGGACTTCGGCGATGACCCTCAACACCAACAGAAACACAATGCACCCGACTCCGATGACCGTGTCGCCGTAGTTAATCGTGTCGATATGCCTGTAAAGGGAGCACATCATCTCCCACAGACTAGACCCGGTGCCGTCGACGCCGATCAGGTCTTTTATCTGGGACGCGATGATTAGCAAGGCCACGGCAGATGTGAATCCCGACGACACGGGACCGGATACGAAATCGATGATTATGCCCAGACCGCAGATTCCCATGGCCAGCTGTATGACGCCGGTGAGGAAGCACAATAGGGTGGCGTACTCTGGACCGTAACCGCGCAGCGTGCTATATGTCATCAGCGACACGATGGCCGTCGGTCCCATTGGCACGTCCTTACAGCTGCCGACGAACGTGTAGATGAACGTACCCAGAAACGAACCGTACAGACCGTACTGTGGTGGTAGACCCGCCAATCCGGCGTACGCCATTGACTGCGGTATGACCGTCAACCCGACAGTCACGCCAGACATTATGTCACCAAGTGCGTCTTGGACCGAGTAACACGGTAACCAGTTCAATATCGGTACCCGGCGCCGCAAGTTCTTCATGGCCACTGTCCTGCGGAGTTTTTGCTTCGCACAAAGACATATTCCCTGGACAGTTTCCACAGTGCTCGTTTTCCGACTGGAAACGATTTCTTCTACGAGTATGAAGTCGTCGCTACCCAACGAACACTTATATGTATCGTCGTGACTATTCATCGAGGAGTTTGTATCTCTGTCCGGCATGGCTGATAGATTTTAATTAATAAAATTTGTTCTGAAAAAAATAAATACAATGCATAGTTAAAAATTTGTATTCATCCTTATTATTTATATTTGTTACAGCCTATTATATAGCATTAATTATGAATAATTGTCTTTAATGCTTTAAAGTAAAATGAGTAATTGAGGTATATCCTACAGAGTACCTATACTACATATACGAGTATACACACCCGATACTCAACTCGAAAGTAAGATGATTAGATATACAATTTTAAAATATGAGATTAATTATTATTCTTAAATTTACTAAAGTAAAAACCTTTATTTCAAATAAAATAACATAATTAAACATTTACATCATTTACTGAATAAAAAAGCCATTTTTAGTGATTATATAATGTCATAATGATATTAATGAGTGATCTATTTAACGAAGACACTTATTATTACTAAAAGTGTTAATGTTGTTCAAACTATTATTATTTTGTTTTAGACGATTTAAGTTACTACAAAACGAATTTTTAAATACTTTTATCTAACAATTAATGTTAGAATTTATTTTACTTTTTTGAATGATAACGTACAATTTTTATTTCATCTTCCAAAGCAAAATATTTTTCTGAGTACCTACCTATTTCGAATTTAAGACGAGTGTAATAGCTTATGAGTTATAAGTTATAATAACGTATTATAACTCATAATTATTATTAATAAGTATTAAGTACGAAGTAGGTACCTATTTAAATTTGAGATACGCTAAGTGAAGTGGAAAGTGGGTTCTCTGCTACACATCTTGGCTAATATTTACAAACTGTAAATTACCTATACTTATAACTAGGGCTCGGATGTTCTTGCACTAAAAATGTTATACAATTGATTGCATTATTGCTGTGAAAAAAACCCAAAATTGCACTTAAAAATTGCAATAAAAAAATATTTTGTACCAAAAAAATAAAAAAAATATATATTAACAAATTATTTTATGAAATGGATTAAGTCATTTTATTAAGTAATATTATAAAGTTTTATTAGATAGATTTTAAACGAGTAGATAATAAAAAAGATTCAAATTCAAATTCTCGTCAGTTGTCACTAAAAATCTGGTTAAATTGTGTGGTCTTCTTATTTTTTCAGAAATCTATACTAATAATTTTATCAAAATTTAAAACTTTTTATTTAAACTATTTTTGATTTGTTTTTTAAAAAAAAACCTTACCTTATCTTAAAAATTGTTGCACTGTATAATCTAGCAAAAAAAAGTGAAAACATAAAAAAATATATAAAATTGTATTGAAAATGACGACAATCATCAAAATTGCAATAAAATTTAAAAAAGGTCAAAAATTGCAAAAAGTTGCACTTAAATTTTTTATATATTAATTGATACTCGTTTGAAATAAATGTATAACTTACTAGCAACGAATCCGAATAGTAGAAAAAAATTGCAAATGCAACAACATCCGAGCCCTACATATAACAGTTATAACTCATTAAGTACCGATCTTAAACTCGACTTTTATGTATTACACTTAGAAAACTATTCTCCTTTAGAGTTTGTTTTTATATTTTAATTTTACATATACAACCTATACAAATTACTAATTAGCACAATCAGTTCACCAATTTTATAATAGATATGTATAACATCAAACATATGATGAATGTAGCAATCTATATTAGTGACTCATCAACTCTTGGCTATAGTGATTAACTTTTAATTATTATTTATATATTTTATATTTTTTTAGAGGATTTGGATATTAGTTTTGTAAAAGATACGGCACCACTTCCTTTTTAGCGTATGGTTAGGATTTTCTAGGAATGTAAAAATGGAATGATATTTTATGAGATGAGGGTWAGGATAATTTGGTGTCGTTTGTGGAAACGTGCCTTGACATATGTAGAATATTGCGCTTCCTCTTAACAGTTCGCATATGGATCTTTAGAACATAAAATTAAAACCATACATAGGTTTGTCATTAAAAATACTAAACATTTAAAATTTGGTAAYGGTAAAAAGTAACTTTTTTCCAAAAATGTTGTTTTTAACGACTATAGCAATATTTTTTTTTTTCAAAAATATGAATACTTTTTGATCTGAAATAATGAGTGTCTTACGTTAAATAGATCGTTGTACGTATCTTCACATATATTTTTCACAAGTAGGTATGAAAATGGAATATATTTTAAAAAAATATCTAAAAAGCTTTTGTGAGGACATCGGAACAGACTTTTAAAATACGGAACTTTCTCGTATAAGACTGGACGTAAATATATAAAACTGGTCATCCTAGTTACTACGCTTAACCAATTTATTATTATAGGCGAAGGAAAATACTAAAACATTTAGTTTTATTTTAAAGTYGATGCAATATATATAGGAGTGTGCTGACAATATTAGAATACTGCTTTAATTTAATTTTCAATGAAGTTTTAAGGTTTTTAATCGAAAAATATGGTCTGCTTAGTTATACATTTTGTTTTGTCAAAATAATAATGTCTAAGATTATAATGATAATATCATATTCAGATATTCAATCGTGACTATGCCTAAAGGCTATAATACATATTAATATAAATTTAATATGTATATTAAATAAATATTTTACATGCACATTTTTAATGATTATAATGTTAGATGTAAGCAGGTATTTAATTATTCTTTTAATTTTTTTAATTTATTGATGATTTATTTTAATGAAAAAACATGTGATATAGGTAGGTACCACATATTATAACGTATATAACACATGAAATAGTAGACCGTATACAAGAATATCCATAATTTATTAAATCATTAAATATAAAAAGACATTAAACGGTAGACTACCAAAAAGTCTGCGATTAAAAAGTGTGAGGCATAAAAAGTCAGCGGCAAAAATCTCCTGTAACTACCTATAATAAGGTTAAAAAAAATATATGCACAATTATTTACGTTCCAATTTCCAATTATTATCGATATACATTTTAATTTAATTAATTACATGACAAAATTAATAGACTGTAGGTACCAATATCGGCAACATCATGAATTGTTAGTGATAATTATGCAAGGTACGTAAGGCGTGTAATAAAAAGACTTGACGAATAAAAAAATGAAAAATTGTCTTAAATTGGTATAAGTTAAACTTACAAAAAAATATAAATGTTTAATAATAAATAGT